GCTGCTGCTGCTGCTGCTGCTGCTGCTGCTGCTGCTGCTGCTGCTGCATAGCCACAAACCCAGACAAGGCCCTCAGCAGAAGCTTGAGCTGGGACCTCACCATGACCCCTGGTGGTGGGGCTGGCCACTAACAACAGTCCTAACAACTCCTCTCCACCCTTGAGTTCCCAGTTCCAATCTCTATTCTTAATGCTTAAGCTACTCCACTTCTCTTTCTCCTATCTGTCCACCACATAACTGCACACTGTGGTGGCTCCCACTGGCAGGCCCCTGGGAGACATCCTTTGTCCATACTTCGTGGTGGTGGCAGCGGCAAGGAAGCAAGGCGTGGCAGTTTGTAGGTCTCTATCTGTCTTCCTCCTCCCATATTGCACTGGATTTGATTTGATTTTTATATGTCCAAGGCATAAAACAGCTTCGGCCACCAAGCCAGGTATCAAGCTAGGATAAACAAAGGACTGTGTCTGCTCTGCCTGACTGATATAAAAACAACACTACCAACAAGGTATCTCTTTGCCCAGGGAAGGAGAAACTACTTTTTAAAACCATCTTCCAGAAAGAGCGTTTTTCAGCTGTTCTGGAGATATTGCCAGCTCTGCAGGCTCATCCTCTATTGCTACACCTCCCCCAAAGCCTCCAATACTCTCGCTCCTTGGAAGAGCTCAAGGGAGCTGCTGTTTTTTGTTGTTTTGTTTTTTTTATTTTTCCTCTAATTCATTCTTCTAAGATTTGGTGCTATTTTATGTGCTTGAGTGTTTAACCTGCATATATTTATGTGCATGACATGCAGGCCTAGTGCCCCAGAGGCCAGAGGAAAGCACTGGATCCCCTGGAATAAACGGTTAAGATGGTTATAAGCTACCATGTGGATGCTGGGAATTAAACCCAGGTCCTGGGGAACAGCTAGTGTTCTTAACCACTAAGTCATCTCTTCAGCCCTAGGACAGTCATTCTTATTTCAAATTCAAATCTATTATAATTCAGATCTAACTTCAAAGCCTGCTTTTTCTCCATACTGTATTTAAATGAATAAAGAATTCTAAGCAATCAATTAGAAAAAGAGAAAAAGAAAGGAAAAAGAGCAGCAAAATGTTTGTTAAAATACTAAGATGCAGCCGGTTAAGAACCTGTACTGCTCTTGCAGAAGACATGAGTTCCATTCCCAGCACCCATGTTATGTGGCCTATTCCAGCTCCAAGGAGATCCAATGCCTCTGGCTTCCATGGGTGCCTGTACACACATAGACATACCCCAACATAGACATACATACATTATAAGAAGTAAAATAAAAATATACTAAGATGGCGTTTAGACACAAAAAGTAAATAAAAAGTAATAACCTGGTAAGAGTTGACAAGGACATAAGGAAGCATTATTGATCAAAATACGAATTGGAAAAAAAAAAAAAATACCAATCGGAAGCCAGGCATAGGAGTTCACACCTTTGCTCTCAGTGCTCAGGGGACAGGGGCCAACCTGGGCTACACATTCTGTTCTAGGCCAGCACAGACTGTCTCAAAATAAATAAATACACAAAAATATATGCAAACACATGTTTGGTATAAACACATCAAAAACAATTTGAAAATAGCACCCAAAAAGAGAAACTCTTGAAAATGTACAAAGAAGACAGATGGCACCCATAAGATTATTTACTACAGCACTATAGTAAAGAAGATAGACATACCCTAAGGGACAGCTATTAGGAGAATGAATAAATTGTTATCTATTCAAAGTACACCCAGAGATGGTGGCACATCTCTTTAATCCCAGCATTTGACAGGCGGAACAAGCCTGGTCTACATACAGTTTTCCAGGTTAGCCAGGGGTATAAAGACGATGTCTCCAAAAAGAGCGAGAGAAAGGATGAATGAATCAATCAAAGTGTTACTACATATTAAAGAAACTGATTTGACTTTAGTAACACAGATGAAGACTGGCAAACCAAATCCTATCTATCTGTCAGGCCCAGCCAGGAAACCAAATGTATTTTTTTATGTTTTAAAGTTGAAAAGAGAATATTATCAATATGAAAATATAGAAATTATAGAAATATTATCAATATGAAAAATATAGAAATTATATGAAACTCCAACTTCAGGAGCACTATGTAACTTATTGAATCAGTTACACTTTTTCTTTTTCTTTTCCTTCTCCTATCCCCCAGGCTAGCCTCAAACTCTCTATAGCTAAGGATGACTCTGAACTTCTAATCCTCCTGTCTTCATCTCCTAATTGTACACCATCACATCTCACAGCGTTAGAGATTGAGCCCAGGGCTCCATACACGCTAGGCAAGAACCCTACCCAGGAAGCTACATCCCAGCCCCTGTAGGCTAATTCATCTGCACTATGTTACACGGACTATCACAATCTAACAGCAGTCAAAAATCAAGGCCTCATGAGTGTGGGGGTAGTCAAAGATCTACTGTAGCAAAAGCAAAGAGAAAGAAGTTTTTTCAGACTTTCTATCAGGCTTTGGGGCAAAGCCTTTTCTTGTATCTAAAAGGGATGTGACTCAAAATTCTGTGGGCTATGAAAGAATAAAAGGAAACTTTAAAATTCTACAACTACACTGAGGTTTGCGGTCCACAGCAGAGAGTGGCTAGCCTGAAGTTGAAAAAAATATAATTTTCTCTTCCTCCTGAGCATCTATATAATGTTCTCAGCTCTCTAACAGTTAGCTATAGGCCCGTAACTGAATCTGGAAGTCAAATACAAGTGAAAGTGATTATGCTGGCTCATCATCCACTTTCCTCAAGTGACCCTACAAGAACCTGGATAGAGAATGGGAAAGTGTGTATCAGTCTAGGTCATTCTGAATGTATCTGTTACAGCAACCAGTGTTCCCTAACTAATATAAGGACCAAAGCCTGAGCTAGAACAACAATGTCCCTTTCTTTTACTAGTAAAAGGCAAGAACTAAATATCCCAGGGCTACCTGAACAAAATCATATTGAAATAACTTTTAAAAGTATTACCAAATATATCTAAATGTCCTGCTTCATAAATTATTCCTAAACACCTAACAGAAAGAAAGCCTAACAATACTAGAAAGTAGTTCTGCTTTGGTGAAACAAAGACAGATGTACTATGCAGTGAATTAGTCTCCACTCAATTAAGGATTAAAGGATTTTACAAGAGCTCAACTTCTTCCTCCGTGAGCCCTCCTATACTACAGTTGTCACAGAATACCTCAGAATTTAGAAATAAGGGCCTCTAGAAGTTTGATCTTAATCACATTCTCAAATCAATGGAAATATATCCCATTCTAAGACATTTCTTAATAAAGAAAACTATACTGAAGGGAAAACGTACAATTTAAAGCCTCTATTTCAAGGAATATACAGAAAAAGTAAATAAAAAGTAATAACCTGGTAAGAGTTGACAAGGACATAAGGAAGCATTATTGATCAAAATACGAATTGGAAAAAAAAATACCAATCGGAAGCCAGGCATAGGAGTTCACACCTTTGCTCTCAGTGCTCAGGGGACAGGGGCCAACCTGGGCTACACATTCTGTTCTAGGCCAGCACAGACTGTCTCAAAATAAATAAATACACAAAAATATATGCAAACACATGTTCTCTCCATCTTTTTTGTTTTTCAATTTAGTGTTTCATTCACGTTTTCCACAGTTTTTACTTCAGAATCCAGAAACCTACTCAAGGGCTACAGGATCATTCCACGAGACAGCAATGATATTCACCTAGCTTATTAAATGCAGAGACTACAGGCGTACACCCATGATACCCACCAAGGCCCTATCTTTAAAACAAACAAGCAAACAAACAAGAAGTGAGCCGAGCATGGTGGCACTTTAAATTTCAGCACTCAGGACCCTTTCTGCTGTAATTCATACTTCAAGCTAGATGGCCCATGAGTTTCTATGTTGTCTCTATTTCCATCTACCATCTTGCTCACTGAAGTGCTATAATTACAAATCTGCTTTTTATACTGGCTCCAGGTTCTCTAACTCTGGTCACCAGGCTCGCACAACAATTACCTACCTATACCCCCTGAGCCATCTCACCAGCCCAGCATCTGTTACCTCGTTCACTGCATGGGCAATCACGAAATATTTATTACCTTTTGTAAAGAATACAAAATTCAAAAAGCATGGCGGTCAGAAAAACAGACACAAATTACTAAAGAAGCAAATGTTCTAATGTAGAAGAAAAGCAATAAATACCAAAACTGTGACTATATGTCAATAGAAGATAAGAATACAAAGAGAAAAGAGAGTGACCACAAGTTATTTTGGAAAGGATAGTCAAGGTTTCTTTAAGAAGTATCTCAACAAACAAAAATGAGAAAACCAGCCGCACACATCCTCTAGAAATGGGAATTCCAGGTATAGAAACCATAAGTGAAAAACTCCTAAAGCAACAGTAATTTTTTTAAAGTGTTCTCAGGTATACAGAAATGCTTGATATAATTAGGGACCACCAAGGCAGCCAGAATGACTAGAGCAAGTAAACAAGAATGAGGACATACGGCCAAGGGCCAGATTAAAAAGATTCTTCTAGGACAAAGTCATCAGCACTTTGGACTTTGATCTACATTATGATGGAAACAACCGTAAAGTTTTTAGTAGAAAATTGACAAGCTCTTACTTAAGGTTTTACAAAATGATTTTCTATGTGCAAAATATCACAGAAGGGAGAGACCAATAAGAACAGAACTAGAAGATGAGTTAGGTGACGGATAGTAACTTACATGAAAGATAAAACAGGGTAAGACTATACACTCTATAGTTTGGTTTTTGTTTTGTTTTGTTTCTTGTCTTTTGAGACAGGATCTCTCTGTGCAGCCTTGGCTGGCCTCGAACTCACTCCTTCCCAAGTGCTAGGATTAAAGGCATAGAGACCACGGCCACCTGGTCGTGGCAGAATCAAATAGGGCAGTTTCCTCAATCTGAATGTTGTACCTAACAGACTGAACGTGAAATGAAAGGTTAAGAACAGAATCATAGGGCTAGAAGATTGACTTAGTGGATAAAGGCACTTTTCACACAGCCTGAGACCTGAGTTCCATCTTTAGAATCCACGTGGCAGGAAAGAATTAATTCCCTCAACTTGTCCTATGACCTCTACATGTATGCAGAGGTACAAGCATATCCATATACACATATACAAACACATTATGGTGCTTTGAATGAAAACTGGCCCCCACAGGCTCATAGGGAGTGGCACTATTGAAAGGCGTGGCCTTGTTGGAGGACATGTGTCACTGAGGGTGAGCTTTGGGGCTTCGCTCTCCATTCTGCCTGTGGACCCCATGTAGAAGCTCTCAGCTCCTCTCCAGCACCATGTCTCTGTCTTGCATGCTTCTATGTTTCCCACTGTGATGATAGTGGACTAAACCTTTGAACCTATAAGCCAGCCCCAATTAAACGTTTTCCTGTATAAGAGTTGCCTTGGTCGTAGTGTCTCTTCACAGCAATAAAACCCTAACTAAGACACACAGATACACAATAAAGAAGTCTTATAAAAAGAAAAATAATGACTCAAATCAGTACTTGTTAGGTT